AAAAAATTGTTTGTAACAAAATATCGATTTCTGCTGTCCCTGTATCGATACATTATTAGCAAACAAAATATCACGATACTAAACAGTATCGATGTTTTCCCCCACCCCTACTAGCTAGCTTGTTAATAATGTATTGAAATGTAAAACAGTCACTGCAGAGGTGCATGTTCGTGGCAATCCTCAGCACTCTGTCACCATGGTTCTTAAAAAAATCAAAAAAACACTACTTTGTCTCACCATTACTGGGAAATATAACTCCTCATGACCACATCATCATAGGTGGTAACCATAACCCTACCTTAGCCTAAAGCGTTGGAGCAAGGCAAAACTGACTTTTTTTAAAAAAAACATATCAATGCTTTGATTTTCTCAGTTTGAATAATTGTTTTATTATGATTGCACAAGTGTTCGTGCTTTAAAAAAAAGCTGTTGTAAGTAGGAAAGCTTCTCAAGCTGTAACATAGAAAAGGAGCTTTGGTCAGAGTGGTAAATGTGCTGATGCAGAGCTGAGCTGGGGCCGGGTGGGGTTGGTGATGCCACAGGTTAAATTTAGCTCAGCGGCTCGCAGTGAAAGGATGGCAATGGAGGGGTTTGAGCTTTTTAGCCATAGCAACATCTGTGACAAACTGTGCAGTAATTGAGTTGACACTGACCTGCAGGGACTGGCTGAACTCCCAGTCACTGTGATTTCTGTGGATGGGTTCTGGACACATGCAGAGCACAGTGTACAAGAGAAACAGAGCTGGAAGAAGACCGATCCCACACCACAGGGGGACCCTGGGTAAACGTCTGTCAAACATCAGGTTTATGGTTATATTGCTAGAGGCATCAGCCGAGCCTGGTTTCACCTGGCACACGCTGCTTTCTGGTTCCCTCTGATGGTTCATTTACATCACAGCATTTTCCACACAGTGTTTGCCACTCGACAACCCCAGGCGATACTCTAATTTAGCTATTGTGCTAATCTGAATTGCAGTAATTTGTTGCTTTTAAGAGATTTAGTGTTTCTCTGTCAAACCTGGCTGCAGCAGAATGTGGGAAAGATTTCAAAATTCTTTTGATTTCATCAGGAGGCAGCTCTGAAGTTCGAAAACACAACTAATATTTGTCTATGTTCTTCATTATTCTATCCATGGTTTGAAAGCCTAACCTTTATTCTTCTAAACATATCTCTTGTCATTGTGGTTGAATAGCTCAGTCTTAAAGCTTTTCCCCAGAAGGCTTTTGGCTTGTCCATGTGGACAACTGCAAATTTCAGTTGAACCTGAAGTTATTAATTTCATAAGCATGGACTTTTTCTTTGGTTGACACTCTTTCTTAGTCCGTGGTAGCGTAAACAGCTGGAAGGCCAGTGGACTGTGGACAGCGACACTGGCCTTCCAGCAGTTTCCAGCTCTTGGTAGGCTTGATCTTGTTGGTTCCTGGTTTGTTCCTGAACATCCTAATCAATTTTGTCTTTACATACAATTCTTTGAACCGATGGTCTGCACCTGTTTAGAAATGGCCCATTGAGTTTCTGGAATGGTCTTCCCAATGCCCCAAACTCAACCCTATTTTAAATTTGTGGGCTGTGCTTAAACGCCAGATCTGTGCCAGGAAAACAACAATTTTTATATACCAATTCTGCCAACAAGGGTCATTAAATATCCAGCCAAAATAATGCAGAAGCTAGTTGATGACTACCAAAAACATATATTTGAGGGGCAGGTTTCTAAGGGGCATTAAACCAAATAATAATGTACGTATACATTTGAAAATGTGCGTTTACTTGGATTAGAGAAAAGTCAAAATAAGTTCAAACTTGTGGGCCTAATTCTTGTTTTATTTTTTAAAAGATTAAACATGTACCCTGGACAGTCAAACTGGAAAAGAACAGTTCAAATAAATGACACTGTGTATTATCATCTTGAAAAAGAATATATGGATAACAAAATTATTCTTCTTTTGATGCCAAAAGAAGCCAGAGCTCCAAAATGATGCTCTAAACTTTAGCAGTACGGTAAGTATAAAATTAAGAACATTAAAAATGAGAAATTAGTGAAACATTAGGAATAACACTGATTATCTCTTCTTTGTGGAATCTGTTAGTGGGTGCATTTAAGAAGTGAACATTTTGTCTTTAAAAGCAGGAAAAACTGGTGAATGTAAGGATTTGAGAGAGTTTGACTAAGGCTGAACTGTGCCGGCTCAATAACGAAGTCAGAGTATCTCCAATGCTGCCACTCCTGTGGCGTGTTCCTGGCCTGCAGTGGTCAGCATCTATCAAAAGTAGTCCAAGGAAGGAAATGGGGTGAACCAGAGACAGGGACATGGGCAGCCAAGGCTCACTGATGTACACAGGGAACAAAAGCTGGCCCATATGGTCTGATCCAACATCTACTAAAGCATATATAGAATACACAGTGCATCACAGTTTGTTGCGAATGGGGCTGAATAGATGTAGACCAGTCAGGCTACCATCCTGACTCCTGTCCACTGCCCAAAGTGCCAGCAATGGGCAAGCGAGCATCGGAACTGGACCCCAGCACAATGGAAGAAGATCGGCCTCATCTGATGAATCACTTGTACATCACATGGATGGCTGGGTGTGTGTTGTTTGTTGTGTTGAAGGAAGGCAAGCAGTGTGATGCTTTGGGCAATGTTCAGCTGGGAAAACTTCATCATTGTGGATGTTACTTCAACTCGTACCACCTAGCTAAGCTTTTTTGCAGACCATGTACACCCTTTCATGGAAACAATATTCAGCTGGATAATGCAACCTGTCAGAAAGCAAAAGTGTTCAGGAAGCTTTGAGGAGCACAGCGAGGTGTTGATTTGGACTCCAGATTTCCCTCAATCCATTCGAGCATCTCTGGGATGTGCTGGACAAACAAGTCCACGGGGGCCCCACCTCACAGCTTACAGGACTCTGTTGCTAACATCTTGGTGTCAGATACCACAGCACACCTACAGGGGTCTAGTGGAGTCAATGCCTCAATGGGACAGTGCTATTTTAGCAGCAAAAAGGGGACCAACACAATGTTAAGCAGGCGGTCATAGTGCTAATCGCTAGCTCTTACCACTTGACTTCTGTAAGTAAATGCTGCAACTAAGTACGATCAGGGTAAGATCAGCTGTCTGTTTGTTGGCACCTGTAACTCACAGTAGCTGTGTCATTCAGAAAAGATGAAAGAAAACAAGGCAGAGTAGTCGGGTTGTGTCGAATGGTTTAAAGTGGCCTGACAGTCATTAGTGCTGTGAAATAAGGCAGCCGTAGACACTGGTGCTCTTGTGTTTTGATGCACTCCATCAAATCTTATTGTGTCTTACAAATGATGTGAGTCATTCATTTAGTGAATTCGATTCAGTTGTAGTGAATCAGCGTAGCAAAATTTAAATGAGTGCGATTCAAATAGAGCCATCTCTCTGGCTTTGATGTCTTTCTGTAACACACTGTGTGTCTCCAAACGCCCTCAGTGTAAAATTATTTTTAGTCCTCTCACTCTGATGACGCCGACATCACATGCAGGGCCTCTGAGGCTCAGAGAGCCGACTCAGCCATGGTGAAGCTTTACACTTTCTTTGGGTTCGCTGATTGGCTGCTTTCCAGTTAGGCAGCCAACCACAGTCGAGTGGAGTGAGAAGCCTCTCAGGCTGTCTGTCTGAGGATTAGTTCCCTCTGTGTTATGTCAACACTGGGATCAAATTGTTGCAAATGGATTTTCCATGATAAAAGCATTACTTCTAAACTTTGTGCAGGTTTAAGGAGATTCTAAATGCATGTCATGTACAGTTGTACTATGGAGAGAGACTAAGTGCTTACTTGATTAGGGGAGGAGGTTTGTGTGTGGAGCTTTCTGTCCACGTTCATACTGTGCTTTTATTCGTTTAGTTAGTCACATGTGTACTTTTTGGCTTTTGACTGCGATGTAAAGCTTAAATATTTAAATAGATGTATTTTTAAAAATGTCCAACTGGCAACTAGTGATATCACGTTATTAAAAATAACCCACGATAGGTGAAATCCCCAAAATAGCCAACTTTATTTTTTACAATTATTATAGATGTTTTCAATTCAATTCAATTCAATTCAATTTTATTTATATAGCGCCAAATCACAACAAAGAGAACATCAATTATATCACCAAGGCAATCACAAAAAACAATTAAAAATGGTCTTCCGTCAAACTTTCGGCTGTCTACATTTCGTAAGCCTACTCTTCTCTGAGTGGTTTAAGTATGGTTGCTGAGCCTGGTTCTGCCGGAGGTTTCTTCCTGTTAAAAGGGAGTTTTTCCTTCCCACTGTTGCCAAAGTGCTTGCTCATAGGGGGTCATATGATTGTTGGGTTTTTCTCTGTATCTATGAAGCGCCTTGAGGCGACTTA